CTGTCACCCAGACTGGAGTGCAGAGGCATAATCTTGGCTCACAGCAACCTCTGCCTCGCGGGTTCAAGCAATTCTCCTGCCTTAGCCTCCCAGTAAGCTACTATTACAGGTGCGTGCCACCAGCCTGGCTGATTTTTGTATTTTTAGTAGAGATGGGGTTTCACCATGTTGGCCAGGCTGGTCTCGAACTTCTGACCTCAAGTAATCTGCCTGCGTCGGCCTCCCAAAGTGCTGGGATTACAGGCGTAAGCCACTGCGCCCGGCCCCAACCTCATTTCTTGGCTCTCTCCAACCCACATTTGCTGCACTGGATGTCCTTCAGTTCTTTGAACACGGCTTGAGCTCTCTGGCCTCCACGCCTTTGCACACACAGATCCCTCTGCTAGGAATGTTTTTCCCTTTTCTTATCATCTGGCTACTCTATATCTTTCAGATTTCAGATTAAATATCTCTTCTGCCAGGAACCTTTCCCGTTACCTCTGGACTCGTTCAGGCACTACATGACTCTGTATGTCCATAGTCTCATGTGCTCTTCTATCCTATCTGCCTTCACAGCCCTATCACATGTGATTGTTTCCTGTCCATCTGCCCCACAAGAACATAAGCTCCTTAGAAACAGGTAGCATGTTTTCCTCATCATTGTATCCCAGACACTACCACAGGGCTTAGAACAGAGTGGGTGCTCTGTAAGTATTTGAATGAATGAATGAATGAATGAATGAATGAACCTGCTAATAAGAAACGATTATTAGCTGGGCGCAGTGGCTCATGCCTGTAATCCCAGCACTTTGGGAGGCTGAGGCAGGCAGATCATGAGGTGAGGAGATGGAGACCATCCTGGCCAACATGGTGAAACCTTGTCTCTACTAAAAATGCAAAAAAAAATTAGCTGTGCGTGATGGCATGTGCCCATAGTCCTAGCTGAGGCAGGAGAATCGCTTGCATCTGGGAGGCAGAGGTTGCAGTGAGCCAAGATTACGCCACTGCACTACAGTCTGGTGACAGAGCAAGACTCTGTCTCAAAAACATAAAATAAAATAAAATAAAATAAAGAAACCATTATTCTTTGCTCTACACAAGGGCAGAAGTTGAACAATGGTGGCCCACTTACGTATTTTGTTAGGTCCACGTAACATTTCCATATTGTTTTAATCTTAAGTTTTTTTTTTGTTTTTTTTTTTTTGAAATGGAGTCTCAAACTGTCATCCAGGCTGGAGTGCAGTGGCATGATCTTGGCTCACTGCAACCTCCACCTCCTGGGTTAAAGTGATTCTCCTGGGCCAGGCACCGTGGCTCACGCCTGTAATCCCAGCACTTTGGGAGGCCGAGGCGGGCAGATCATGAGGTCAGGAGATTGAGACCATGCTGGCTAACACGGTAAAACCCCATCTCTACTAAAAATACAAAAAAAATTAGCCAGGCTTGGTGGCAGGCATCTGTAGTCCCAGCTACTCGGGAGGCTGAGACAGGAGAATGGCATGAACCCGGGAGGCGGAGGTTGCAGTGAGCTGAGATCGAGCCACTGCACTCCAGCCTGGGTGACAGAGCGATACTCCGTCTCAAAAAAAAAAAAAAGTGATTATCCTGCCTCATACTCCCAAGTAGCTGGGACTACAGGTGCGCGCCACCATGCCCAGCTCATTTTTGTATTTTCAGTAGAGATGGGGTTTCACCATGTTGGCCAGTCTGGTCTTGAACTCCTGACCTCAAGTGATCCACCCACCTCAGCCTCCCTAAGTGCTAGGATTACATGCATAAGCCACCACACCCAGCCTAATCTTAAATTGTTTACCAACCAATCATGCAGAAATCTATATAGACATTTAAATGGTTTGGCTTCTCTTGATAATGTTGGAAAATCTAACGTCATTAGGCCTGCTTGTCTACATGGCAACAATTATTTGGAACTGAGCTGCCACCTATCAAGAGGGCTCTTATTCTCCAGTTTGCCACAGTCTTTGTTACTCCTGCCTAGGCATTTGAATTTCTACTCCCTGCACTAAAAAAATCAAAGGTAGGCTGGACGAAGTGTAATCCCCCAGCACTTTAGGAGGCTGAGGCGGGTGGATCACTTGAGGTCAGGAGTTCAAGGTCAGCCTGGCCAACATGGTGAAACCCCCATCTCTACTAAAAATACAAAAATTAGCCAGGCATGGTGGCGCACGCCTGTAATCCCAGTTACTCGGGAGGCTGAGGCAGGAGAATCGCTTGAGCCTGGGAGACGGAGGTTGTAGTGAGCTGACATTGCGCCAGTGCACTCCTTGCTCCAGAGCAAGACTCCATCTCAAAAAAAAAAAAATTCAAAGGTAAATTAAATCACTTCTAGCCCTCAATTACATTAAATTAGTTCAGTTACGTCTTTATTGCAACCTATTAATAGCTTGGTGACCCTGGCTACACCATCTCAACCATCTGGACCTCAGTGCCCTATAAAGTAGGGATAATAACTTTCTTCAGATCTAACAAGATAATGCCTGTAAAGGTCTTGTATAATTGCTTAACCCAGTGAAATAACTACTATTAATAATAAAGGTTAGGCTTTTGTTTGTTTGTTTGTTTGTTTGTTTTTTGAGACAGAGTCTCGCTCTGTCACCCAGGCTGGAGTGCAGTGAGATCTCGGCTCACTGCAAGCTCCACCTCCCAGGTTCAAGCCATTCTCCTGCCTCAGCCTCCTGAGTAGCTGGGACTACAGGCGCCCGCCACCGTGCCCGGCTAATTTTTAGTAGAGACGGGATTTCACCGTGTCAGCCAGGATGGTCTTGATCTCGTGACCTCGTGATCCGCCTGCCTCGGTCTCCCAAAGTGCTGGGATTACAGGCATGAGCCACCGCTCCTGGCCAAGGTTAGGTATTATTATTCTGTGAACTTGTTTTAGTCAGCCATCATTTATTTACAAGTAACAGAGTCCCACTTAAACCAGAGGAAAAAGAAGGAATTTGTTTAGTCAGATACAGGCGTGTTTCTTTCTTTCTTTTTCTTTTTTTTTTTTGAGTTGGAGTCTTGCTGTCTTCCCAGACTGGAGTACAGTGGCACAATCTCAGCTTGCTGCAACCTCTGCTTGGTTAACCAAGTAAAATAACCCTGGGTTCAAGCGATTCCCCTGCCTCAGCCTCCCAAGTAGCTGGGACTACAGGCACATGCCACTACGCTCGGCTAATTTTTTTGTATTTTAGTAGAGGCGAGGTTTCACCATGTTGGCCAGGATGGTCTTGACCTCCTGACCTCATGATCCACCCACCTGGGCCTCCCAAAGTGCTGGGATTACAGGCATGAGCCACTGCGCCTGGCCGATACAGGCGTGTTTCAAAGAATTCAAGGACAGGAAGTAGAGCCCAGGATCATGAGAAAGTGGAAGCACTTGATCTGATTGGCTCATTCTGGTTTCATTGGCTACCTTCAACCCAATCAGCTAAAGCTACAAAGTCAAAGTGTAGTACAAACATATCATCTGGGATCTACCCTTGTGGTTGACAAAGTGGGGACAGTTTCCATAGAACAGGGTCTATGGACTAGGCAGACAGCCCCCTAAGTATCTATTATAGAACTTTCTGGAGGTTGACAGCATGCCCTTTAAGTGATTCATTTATGTTTATGGCCATCTTCTCACAACCCTCCCCAAGTATGCCAACCAGTATAACAGTTGGCAGCCCCAATCTAGGAACTGGGTGAAATGTTTTCCAGGAAAACACCAGTGGGACTTAGTTACCTGCAAGGGCCTCTTGCCCCGCTATGAACATGCTAGCTTCATTCCCTCCTGCACATCTGACCATATCTGGGTATTTGGAGGTGCCAACCAATCAGGAAATCGAAATTGTCTACAAGTCCTGAATCCTGGTAAGTAGCCAAAGCTTATTTTATTTATGTACATACAAATAAATGTTCATGTGTGTGTGTGTGTATATATATGTATATATATATATCTCCAATTATAATTCCAGTACATTTGGATTATACTGATTACCATTTAACTTTGCTGACATCATAGAAAATAGGAATTTTAACTTGTAGCATAATCTGAAAACAGAATAAAAACAATTGTTGGTAACACGTACAATCTTTAACTTGTTAAATGTCAAAGCTGGAAGGGACTTCAGAGAACAGCTATGACAAATGGGCAACTCAGGTTTATCAAGGGGAAAGTGACTTTCCTAAAGTCACAAGAGGCCTGGCATGGTAGCTCACGCCTGTAATCCCAGCACTTTGGGAGGCCGAGGCAGGCAGATCAGTTGAGGTCAGGAGTTTGAGATCGGCCTGGCCAATATGGTGAAACCCCATCTCTACTAAAAATACAAAAATGAGCTGGGCATGGTGGTGGGCATCTATAATCCCAGCTACTCAGAAGGCTGAGGCAGGAGAATCGCTTGAACCCAGGAGGCGGAGATTGCAGTGAGCTGGGATCGTGCCACTGCACTCCAGCCTGGGCAACAGGGTGAGACTCTGTCTCAAAAAAAAATAGGAAAGAAAAATTTTAAAAAATAAAGTCACAAGAGAGTCAGTGACTGAGCCAGGCTTAGAACCCAAGTCACCTAGATTAGTGGTCCTCTAGTAACGTCCTCCAAAGGTCCTCCCTGGGAGACATTTGGCCATATCTGAAAACATTTTGGGTTATCACAACTGGGGGTAGGGCGGGCTACTGGCTTCTAGGGGTAGAGGTCAGATATTCCGTGTATATATCCTGTCACGCCTAAGACAGCCACCACAGGGAAGAATTATCTGGTCTAAAACGACAGTAGTGCCAAAGTTAAGAAACACTGACCTGGATCCTCCTAGTATGTTTCTTTTAGCGAAAAGTACAAAGTTCCTAACTCACTTCTCACTGAGAAGACATTTTGTTTGTTCGTTTTGTCTGTTTGTTTGTTTTTGTTTTTCATACCTTCCTGTTTCCATCACTGGCAGTTTTATCATAGAGGAAGCAGTTTGGGAACATCACAACTGACAGGAGGTGGCTAAACCACCTGTGGGGAAGTGGACTTGTCTTTGCCTTTTGTTTGTTTTTGTTTTTCTCTTTACAAATATTATTTATGTTCATTGTAAAATACTTGAAAAATACAAATAAGTGGGAAAAGTCATCCACAATCCTATTATATTAAGGCTATTAACAACTTTGTCTTTTTTTTTTTTTTTTTTTTTGAGACGGCGTTTCACTCTTGTTGCCCAGGCTGGAGTGCAATGGTGCAATCTCGGCTTACTGCAACTTCCGCCTCCTGGGTTCAGGAGATTCTCCTGCCTCAGCCTCCCAAGTAGCTGGGATTACAGGCATGCGCCACTATGCCTGGCTAATTTTGTATTTTTAGCAGGGATGGGGTGTCTCCATGTTAGCCAGGCTGGTCTCGAATTCTTGATCTCAGGTGATTTGTCCACCTTGGCCTCCCAAAGTGCTGGAATTACAGGTGTGAGCCAATGTGCCCGACCCAACTTTCTGTCTTCTTCCTGTCTTTTCTCTGTTTTCACAAGCCTGAGATCATACTATATTTAGTATATTTAGTATATTTAGGTGATTTTTTTTGGCTTTAGCAAAAATAATGGATTTGTTATTAATAACAGTGCTTTGTTAATATCATATCATTTGTTTGTTTTGTTTTGGGTTTTTTTGTTGTTGTTAACTTTTTTTTTTTTTTTTCCAAGGCAGGGTCTCACTCTTTTGCCTAGGCTGGGATGCAGTGGTTTGATCACAGCTCACTGCAGCCTTGACCACCCAGGCTCAGGTGATCATCCTAGCTCAGCCTCCCAGGTAGCTGGGACTACAGGTGCTTGACACCATGTCTAGCTAATTTGTTTGTATTTTTTGTAGAGACAGGGTTTTGCCATGTTGCCCATGCTGGTCTCAAACTCCTGGGCTCAAGCAATTTGCCTGCCTCAGCCTCCCAAAGTGTTGGGATTACAGACATGAGCCATTGCACCTGGCCAACATAATTTTTAATGGCTGTGTCATGCTCCATTATATATAAAATACTCCATAATACCGTAATTCCTCCCATTTATGAACATGTAGTTCCTTTCAGGTTTTTACCATTATAATTAACAAAGCAGTGAACATCTTCATTCAGAAGTCATAGACTGTATTTCAAATTATTTTCTTAGGGTTCCTGCCAAGAAATAAAAAGACTAGGTAAAATATTGTGAACCTTTTCAAGGTTTTGATACACACTACCAAATTGCTCTCCAGAAAGATTTTTCCAGTTTATCCTCTCTCCAACTGTGTTTAACGATGTTTCTTTCATTACTGACCAGCACTGAATTTATCAGTTTTAAACATTGCTAATTTGATAGGCAAAAAAACTTGTTCACAGTTTAAATATGCATTTTGGGCCGGCGCGGTGGCTCACACCTGTAATCCCAGCACTTTGGGAGGCTGAGGTGCACCGTTCACCCGAAGTCAGGAGTTTGAGAGCAGCCTGGCCAACATGGTGAAACCCTGTCACTACTAAAAATACAAAAATTAGCCAGGCATGGTGGTGATGCCTGTAGTCCCAGCTACTGATGAGGGCGAGGCAGGAGGATCGCTTGAACCCAGGAGGCAGAGGTTGCAAGGTGCCGAGATCGTACCACAGCC